TGGGCAACCTGTTCCAGTGCCTCACCACCTTCTCTGTGAAGAATTTCTTCCTGACATCTAATCTAAACCTCCCTGATTTCAATTTGTACCCGTTACCCCTTGTCCTGTCACTACAGGCTCTTGTAAAAAGTCCTCTCCCAGCACCCTTGTAGCCCCCTTCAGATACTGGAAAGCTGCAATGAGGTCTCCTCGGAGCCTCCTCTTCTCCAGGCTGAACAAGCCCAGTTCTCGCAGCCTGTCGTCATAGCAGAGGTGCTCCAGCCCTCGGAGCATCTTCGTGGCCTCCTCTGGACTCGCTCCAAGTGGTCAATATCCTTCTGATATTGAGGGCTCCACAGTTGGACGCAGCACTCCAGGAATTGGGATTCCACTCAAATTGGAATTTTGATTTAGATTGATTCTAGCTCAAAGCAAACACGTTGGTAGATTCACCATTTCAGGTTGAAGCCAGAATATAACACACGGACTAAACCAAAATGACAGCTCGGAAGGTTATGGGTTTTGAATATATATTCAGCTTTGAGTCTTGCAGGCGGAGTCCATCTCTAGCGAGCAGAACGTCTCTGCCACAAAGGAGCTGGCACTTCTTAGATGCTGGCTGCGTGTTGCGCTTCCTTCTGCGGCAGATCTGGTTTAGCAGCGTCTGTGAAGCCCAAACTGCCTATCTGCAGACTGTCTCTCACTAGAGCTGCAGTTCTGCACTGTGGTTCTTTGCCAGCAAATTTAGTTTGAGAACTTCCTACTCTGAACGACTGGTGTCTGCCCCCATACTGTGGTTATTAAGTCAGCTGTGTGATTGCCCTTTAAACTGGAGCCATGATGTGGTACAGAGAGAAAAAACTATTTCCTTCAAACCCACCCACCCCCCACCAAGTATTTGTTTTTAAAGATAATGATTTCACAGATCTGATTTGGAATCGGTACTGCTGAGGGGGCCATAATGTGTCTGTAAATTGGGTAATAGAAGTTCTTAAACCAGAGCAGCTGCCAAAGGCATCTTAACGCAGAGCTTCTGCCTTAAGGAGAGAGGCGGCTTGGCAGGCGAGGGTCTGCAGCCCAATAGCTGACTCCAGGCTTGTGGTTCCCACCTGGGTACTCAAATCAGTGCCCCGTAGGCCCCGCAGCTTTCAGATGCCTGCATGCTGAGCAGCACCCAGGAGCGGGGAAGGCTTCTGAATGTGAGTAGTCAGGAGGAGGAAGCTGGGGGGTATTGCACATCTCAAAAGTGTGTGTTGTTTTTAGAGGGCTCAGGCAGGCTGGGGAGGGAGACCTTTGTTGCTGGCATATACAGACGTGTTTCCAGCCAGACATTGAGTGTTAGTGTAGAGAAAAATATGTGCTTGGGCTTTCAGTGGGAAACAGCAACAACAAAAAAAACCCCTTCCATTTCTTTCAGCTAGAAAGTGATGCCAGGAGCTGTTGTTCTAAACCATAGAATAAGAAGTCTGGATTTATAAGCATGCGTGTGAGATACACCTTGGACTGCATGTCAGGAAAATCTACATAGAGAAAACGCATAGCACAGAAAGTAGGTCTTGCTGTTGACTGTCACTGTGCAGGGAAAACCGAGTATGTTGTGGAAATCTTTGTGTGTTTCTTAAAACAAAACAAAAAAACCCCCACCAAACGTGTTAACATCTGTTTGTGTATAAATAGATCTGTTTCTTCTGATTTCATAGTGCCCATTACAGCATGATCCAATTTTTCTGGAGTGCCAGAAGAGAAGGAATATCTCCAGAAAATAGTGAGGTTACAAGACCCAGATAAAACCTGCTTGTGTTCCCTTTATAAAGATACGGTCAGCTTAGTCTTGCAGAGAGCAAATGCACTGGTGAACTTGAGGTGGTTGCCAGACCTTTCTCACTTCTTTATATGTGTGATTTGCCAAGTCCTTAGCTAGCTGGAGGGTGAATGTTAAGACAGGGAGCAGCACTAAAAGCTGAGCAGTGGTAGGTTGAAAAGTTCTGCTTGAGCAGGACATAATTAATGTGATTGGTTTTTTTTGGTTTTTGGTGGTTTTGGTTTTGTTTTTTTTTCAGTGACTGCCTTTAGGTACCCTAAAGCGCTGGCTTGAGCTGGAAGGAAGGGCACCTCTGAAAGGATGCTTCTCTCCCCTGGGAGTGGGCTGGAATAGTGTCCAGTGAGCCCCAAACACAAAGCTGATGGGTTTGGTTTTGTTGTTTATTAAAGACAGGCCTTTGTACAGCAGTAATGGAAAATCCTATTTCTGTACCAATAAAAACTTTGCTCCCATTGTTGTTGTTATTGGCAAACTTAGTCACTGTGGTGTTTATGGAAAAGCATTTACTGGGAAGGACTGGATTGTTAGCAAGCTTCATCTGCTTTCATTTTGCTTTGATGGCACACATGTTGCTGTGGGACCTTGTTTCATCCCTGTACCCCATCCACAGTCTGTCCTCCCAGGCTGGTTCCCCCTTCAGCAGCATGGACAGGCAGCGCCTTGCTGTTTGCTGGAGCAAGGTAGAGCATTGCCTGGGTCTGTCCTGGGCTCTTCTTTCTGGCCTGGGGGCATAAGCTTTGTGTCAATTCCTCTTCTACCACACAGGATGCTGAAACAATGCAGCATGTTTTGTAGCAGTCGGGCTAGACCTAGTTGGCATGTGGGGTATCGGCCAGATGACAGTAAGAAAGAACTTGAGTGCTGCAGAAGGATTAAAAGAAGCTTCTCTATTAAATGCAATTACACAAACATGCTGGAGTCATGTGTCCTATTTAATTCTTGCCCAAGAAAAGAGGCATTCCTCAGGGCACTGCTTTTGTCTGAGTGATAGAGATACCCAAGTGCCTCAGACGTCCTCTCTGAATCCAGAGTGGCTCTTCTGTGCCTTGGGTGGCAACTATAACTGTGCTTCAGATTCCTCTGAAGAAGAGCTGTTCCTCCAGGACCCAGTCAGTTCTTTTGCCAAGCAGCGACTTAGAGCTGGCAGAGCCCTCGCTGCCATCTAGGCCTCGCAGGCAGCTTTCGTGGCTGGACACGGCTCCCTGCCTGCATGCCCCACGGCGTTGTGTTTGCCCACAGAGGTGCCTCTGCTCCGTGCTGAGGAGCCTTCTGCAATTGGGGATCTTCCAGGGGGCCTTAGCCACTTCTGGAGACCGAGAAGGGCACCAGGCTAAACACCGTGACGGGCTGTGCTTGCTCTCCTGTCAGGGCTGTTCTAAATCACACCTTTAATGTGTTTTCTTCTCTCCTGCTGGTGAGTGAACGTTCTTGTCTCTACCTTTCACATGAACGGGACCCGTGGTGGAGACAACAGCTTACAGGCTGTTACAGAGCTGCTTGCAAGCAGCTCCCAAGAAATACTCGCTGGAGCTAATGGGTTGGAACCCCAGCTCTGGGAATTGGGACCATAAGCTGAAAGCATACAGCAGCCTTCCTGGTGCGGAGGCGGCGGTTGGTTGATGCAGATGTACGTGGATGTGAGAAATGGGCTCCAGATCTTTCTGCAGGCTTGCTGGTTCTCGGGCATGGCTTTGACTTTTTGCTTCTCGGTGAGGTAACGGCTGGGCAGGGGTGGGGATGTGTCCTTAGGGCTGGACTGACTGGGAGGGGACAGCCTGGGAAGGGCAGGGATCACCCCCAGAGGTGGTTTTATGTGACATAGGAGAGCAGGTTTGTGCTGCCCTGGGGTCGGGTTGCTCTTAACTAAATAGATAACCAGCGTTAGTGGGCCAGGGCGGTGAAACCGTGAACACTTCTCTCTCAAAACTCCATCTCCCCCATTTTAAGAGTATTTAGTCTGAAATTATTGCTCATCTGTAGAAACTGAGGTTTTAAGAAAACCATTAAATATTCCAAGGTAAGGGATTAAATGGTCCAGAAAAGCTGTTCTTTGACTTTCCCAGCTCCTCGCCCCTCTGTGTATACATTCCCTGAGGTATCTCACAAGGTAATTTGTGTGCAGAGGGCAACTGTGCTCTTGCTTATGGGCACCAAATGTTTAATTCAGTGTGTGCTTGTCAAAATACATTAAAAATGCAGGTAGCACTTGCTGTGTGCGAGCCAGCTCTTGTAAGCAAGGCACCATCATGGAGTGATGTTACAGACGTGACACAAACGGAGCCCGCTGAAGTGTCCTGGCTACCTGGAGTGTCCTGCCAGGCTGGCAGGGCCCCTCTCTCTTCGAAACGCTGCCCTTTCATGATGATGCTGTACGATCCTGAGGGAACACAGGGCAGAGAGATGTGCCACCATTATCTGGTGTGGTTTTATTGCTGTGTGGTTCTCTCTTGTCCAGGTTCATCTCTATCCAGTTGTATCTCATCCTGTGTTTAGATCCAGTCCTGAAGATCTCTCTGGAATCAGTGGGAATATGAAGGCTTGTAGGATTCCTCAGCAAGGTTAACATTTTTGTAAAATCACTGGAGTAGAGGTTGTATTTGTGTGCATTACACCTTGCACAAATAGGTCCCAATCTCTCGGTTTGGTTCAACATCCGTCTGCGCGGTCATCCAAAGGGGATTTCACGTGCCGTCAAGTGCAACAGGAAGCTTTTGTGAGCACCTTGTTTTTAGAAAAGACTTTGAAATCAATATTGGGCAGCAAGGCTGCATTAGGTAAGGTTGAGGCAGTAGTGTGGAATTCATAAACAGAACTGAAAGGGTGAAAACAGACATTGCTGGGATACAAGAGAGAAAGCTTAACTCCAGAAAGTACCTTGGACTTGTACGGCACTGGAAGTGCTGGTGATACCAGGTGAAGTTCCCAGTGGGCTGCCAGCACGCCTGGTGAAATGGGCAGGCATTAGAACTGGAGGCAGCTGCTCCCTTCGCGTCTGCAGGACTGGACCTCTGTTCATCAGTGCTCATCTCCTGACACTGAGCTTGTGCTCTTCCCGTCTTGAAGTCTGTAACGATGTACCTTTCTCAGGCCCTGGCTAACAGTTGCTATAACTCCCATTAATGCAGTCCTCAAGGGCAGGGCCTGGTTTAGCCTTACTTCTATCAACCAGCCAACTGAATTCTGTTTTCTTGCCTTTCAGTCCTTCCAAGGAAGCCAAGGACGAGCGTACCTCTTCAATTCAGTGTGAGTATAACTTCGTACGTGTCACCTCTGCATCTCTTAGGATAGATTTAAGAAATCCCTCGTGAAGAAGAAAACAAAAGGATAGTCTTCCTTTAGAAAACCTCTGCCTAGGACTTGGGAGCTTACTGAAAATGGTTGGAGAAAGAGGCAGGAAACAGCACTGATTCCTATTTGATTTTATGTTGAGGTTTCAGATAAGCAGCAAGGAAAAGGTGTTTTTTCATCATCAGATTGAGAGATTGGAGCTAACAGATGAGTCATTCCCTTCTCAGAGAATGTAGTTGGGCCAAAGAGTCAGAGTTTCGTAAGTGGAGAGAGTAAGTGATACCTAAATACGAAGTCACTTTTCAGAGCTAGCATAGAAATTAAGTATAATTTTCCCAATAACTGAGAATAGTTTTGGTGAGATCACTGCTGGGATGTCTTTCAGCAGAACTGCTGATTTCAGTTCCATTTGGGAAAGTAAAAGTACCATTTTTATCAATTTGAAAATGAAAATCTTTCTCAAATGCGTAATTAGTGCAATTTACTAGAATGTTATTAATCTTCCATTCAAAGCTTTAGAGAATTATTTGTTGAATAAAAATTTCATTTTACCTTTTCCTGCTGTTTTGGAGCTGCAAGAGATCTTTGTTTCAGACAGAGCTGTGGTACTCAGCTCCTGAACCTCTTGCTTATGTTTTCAAATACTGCAATAGGATTGCTGTCAGCTTCGTTGTAGCATCTTGCTGTGGAAAGACTCACTAATAGGGAGCATCTCTCCTTTTTCCCCAGAGTTAATGTGGGTTGTGGCCCTGCCGAGGAGCGGGTGTTATTAACAGGCTTACATGCGGTTGCAGATATTTACTGTGAAAACTGCAAAACCACACTGGGTTGGAAATATGTGAGTATCAGTATCATTTGTTTTTCCCATGCACATCTTTGCTCCAGCCCTTTCCAAAGGTGTGTGTGTATGGTAACGTGGTCTCGTGGAAAGACTACGAACTTGGGAACCAGAAATGCAGATCCTGGTCTGTAGCCACATCTTTTTTCCTTCCTGTATTTGCATTTTCTCTCAGTGTTTTATTGGTTGCATCCATTCAGAGCAGGAGCTCTTTGTGGCTAACACATTTGTTTGCTAAGAACATACACTGTGGGCCTGGTTTTGGTGGGTGTCCCTTAGTGATATTTAATGTAAATGAGGATAACGTCACTCAGTCTGGTGGTTCAGACTGTCTTTTTTCCCCAGATGATATCAGAATAATAGAATATTCCGTATATTGTTAATCCTGTGTCCTTCCCACTGGAAATGCTATTGAACATGAGTTTATCTGTTTGCTGTCTCTTGCCCTTCATAAATTCAATTACCTTCAAATAAAGGCTTATGCTACATCCTGATTTCTGCTTCAGGAGGCACATAGCGTACTTGTTTGTCAAAACATTTTGACCAGTGTCTAAAGAGAAGATAAATTGTTTCTGTGGCCTCTGGACAGAAATAGTCTTTAATAAATCAGTTGAAAGGCTATAAAAAGTAAAAGCATCAAAAATTGATGCAGTAGGAATCCATGCAGAAACACAGCATGGATCTCACGAGCGAAGAAGAACACCAAGTACATAAATTGAGTTGATTGTAAAGCAAAATACAAAATTTCATAAACATAGGGGTAAACCCAAGACTCTCCAGCAATAGAATTGATATTCTTCCATGTGCATTACGTGTACACAGACAGCACAGCTGAGCAGAGCTG